GTTTTAGGGGAAGTTGCCCTGGCCCATGGAGGGGGGTTGGAACTGGAGGAGCTTTAAGGTCCCTTCCAACACAAGCCATTCTAGGGTTCACCTCCAGTTGAAGTGTATGGCATGCAGGACTGCGTGCCTGGAAGCAGAGTGGGGGCAGGATCTTCCAGATACAGCCGTGGGGAAGACAGTGTGGGAGCAGACCAGCCCTCCCCTCTCCTGGTGCAGCATCTCTTATCATGTCCCAGCTCTGGGCCCATGTCAGCAGAACTGCAGGACAAACTCCAGCATGGCTGTGAGCAGGGAAGCCTTGTCAAGGCTGCCTTGGAAGCTTTGGTGATCGTTATCAAACTCAGAGTTTCCTGTTGTGTTTGCAGCCAAATTGCTCCCTGCTGTCTTTCAGTGTGTTATAAGCAGAGTCAGAGTGATCCCAGTGTAACTCTTTCACAGAGAGTGAGTTTTTTATCTTGCTCAGATGATGTCCCTGGACAGACTTATTCCTGGCTTTGCTCTGGAGAACAAGGTGATGTCCTGTATTTGAATCGTGGTTTCTTTTCCAGCCCAGTGTTTCCAGGCCTCTTTGAATTTTGCTCTCGCTATACCGGAGCCTCCCTGCAGGGAGCAACACAGCTGAACAACAAGGTAACGGAACTGCTGGCCTTATCTTTTGAAACACCGCCGTAAAAGCCAACTGGTGTTTAAGGAGAACCTCCTGGCTTTGTTCTGGAAAGCAGCATGGCCAGCACTGCTGTGCTGCAGTGTAAATACCTCGTGCTGTAGGACTAAGCTTAAGACCGTTCCTGTACTGTCAGAGGCAACCATTCAGTAGATGCTTAATCTGAAGGGAGTCAGAGGATACTGATGCTGCGCATAATAAAGTCAGAAAGCTGTCTCAGAATTGTGGAATGAACCTGGGGTCCTCAGTGAAACTGGCTGTTGGGAGACCCAGAGTGCTGCTAGGTCTGTGCTATGACATGCACTAAAGGAGCCCACACAGAAGGTCTGAAGAAGAGGGTCCCTCAGGGTGTAAAAAAGTAATTTACATAGGTTTGAATGGGTTGGAGACCTGAGAAATGTCTACTGAGCAGGAAGAACAAGTGCAGGAACAAATGGTATGTGCCTTGTGCAGCCTGCTGCTGGCTGGGGAGGGAGCAGTGGTGGTGGGAGATGATCTTCTCTGCTCTAGCAGGGGATATAGAGTACAGGACTAATCCAGTATGGACATGGTGTAACCAAAACCAATTACTGTGAAGGTGCTGAGATGCTGGCACAGGGTGCCCAGAGAAGCTGTGACTGCCCCATCCCTGGCAGTGTTCAAGGCCAGGTTGGACACAGGGGCTTGGAGCAACCTGCTCTAGCGGAAGGTGTCCCTGCCTGTGGCAGGGGGTTGGGACTAGAGGAGCTTTAAGGTCCCTTCACCCCAAACCATCCTCCATAAGCAAAAGAAAGGCCAGAAGGATGTTTGTGTGCCACAGGGATGGGCAGGTTGAAGTGAGTGCAAGGTTGTTCTTACCACATTGTCACCTGAAACTAACTTTCCTTTCCTTTCCTTTCCTTTCCTTTCCTTTCCTAGATCTGTGACATTGCAATAAACTGGGCAGGGGGCCTGCATCATGCCAAGAAGTTTGAGGTAATGAGGCAAATGTGTGTAGTCCTGACTTGTTGAGGCCCCAGCTCTGTGCTGATCCTGTTCTAATGCTGTTCTGTTTGCTCTGTCTTGCAGGCTTCTGGGTTTTGTTACGTCAATGACATAGTTATCGGCATCCTGGAGCTGCTCAAGTAAGGATCTGGTTGGCTGTAGTTTCCCTTTTCTCTCTGCTCCCCTTCTTGTTTGCCTTTCTAGTATCCAGGAAGGCCAACAACTCAATTGTTGTCCTGGCCTCTTCAGATGTAAGAAGTATGGCTTGAGAATTGGAATACCTGACTCCAGTTTCACTGCACGCAGGTTAAGAGATACAAAAGAGTTCTTCAGTTCCATTTCTTATCCATCTGTGAAATGCTCATTTCAGGGTCTCCTGAGTTTCAACACTTTTGCCATAGTAGGTAAATGTAAATTATGGCTCACAGGAGACAGTTAAATGACTCAAATCTGTCTTGATTTCCTTGAGTGGCTTAAGAACAGGACTTGAGCAACACATGGATGATCAAAGGTCACTTGCTTTGAGTAGAAAAAGAGTCACATTACTTTTCTTCTTAGAAAATGAACAATAAATTCAAAATGGAAGAGTTGCAGAAATACCTTCCATTTCCTGGATTAATCTGTGATTAAGGGGTTGGGTTTTTTTGTGCTCTCAAATGCCCTCCTTGTCCCCGAATCTAAGACAAGATACGGAGTTAAAATCTTTTTGGGTTGACCAGACAGTAATTATGTGACTGGTGGCAAGCCTGCTTGCTCTCAGAGTCAGATGTATGAGATGTCAGATGGTACTGGGGTGTCCTGTACCTCCTTTCTCTCTGCCAGTCTTCCTGCTCTGTGTTTGGAACCTCAGGTCTTCTGTGTATCTCTGCACACCCATCTTCTAGTCTTACATGAGTCTCATGCCAGAGGCTTCAAATACAGCCGAGTTACCTCTCATGGGAGATTGAAATATGGAATCCCAGACTGGTTTGGGTTGGAAGGGACCTTAAAGCTCCTCCAGTTCCAACCCCTGCCATGGGCAGGGAAACCTTCCACTAGAGCAGGTTACTCCAAGCCCCCGTGTCCAACCTGGCCTTGAACACTGCCACATGGGGCAACCACAGCTTCTCTGGGTACCTTGTGCCAGCACCTCAGCACCCTCACAGGGAAGAGCTTCTGCCTCAGAGCTCATCTCAATATCCCCTCTGGCAAGTTAAAGCCATTCCCCTTGGCCTGTCCCTACAGGCCCTTGTCCTAAGCCCGTCTCCAGATTTCCTGGAGCCCCTTTAGGCACTGGAGCTGCTCTAAGGTCTCCCCTTCAGGAGCCTTCTCTTCTCCAGGCTGACCCAGCCCAGCTCTCTCAGCCTGGCTCCAGAGCTGAGTACATTTGACCATTACGCCAATGTATTTATTTTGTCTCTGTGACCCAGCAGGCTTCTTCTCCAGTAAACTTAGTCCAGTCTGGTGTTCTTGGTACTCACCAGCTGGGACATATTGCCGCCAGTTCTCTGGCATGTGAAGGAAGTAAGTGTTCTGCCTCCTCCTTGGCTAGCTTATCTTTCATTTCCTCATATGATTATAAAGTACTGGAGCTCTTAATAATTTACTAACGGCATCTTGTTTGTAGAGGAAACAAAAACCTGCAACCGTGGCAGGGGGTTTGAAACCAGATAATCTTTAAGGTCCCTTCCAACCCAAACCATTCTGTGATTCTATAAAATAGGTTCTCTTCAACATTTGCTTCCCAAGACCTTTCTGGCCCCATCTGAAACCCCTTTATTCTAATATCTATTTGAAGCACATCAGAAGAAAATGTTTTAGTGGTGGGGCATGTTTGACTCTATAAAATGTCTCCGATTGATTTGATACATGCTCAGGTGGGTTCTTTTGGTGAGTGGCTTATGGGTGGATGGTGGTTTTCAGAGTGCCAGGTGATGCTAAGGGATGGGGGGGAAGCAGTGTGGTGCAGACAGTAATGCCATTTTCTCCTGTGTTCAACAGGTATCACCCACGTGTGCTGTACATTGATATTGATATCCACCATGGCGACGGGGTGCAGGAGGCTTTCTACTTGACAGACCGTGTCATGACAGTGTCGTTTCATAAATATGGGAACTATTTCTTTCCTGGTACAGGTGTGTATTTTTCCTTATAGTGTGAGCCTGGCCTTGCTTCAGAATCCTTCGGAAGCTCTGCTGGAGTATAAAAGTGTAAAATCATGGAATTAGAGCTGCAGGGAGAAATGATGGGAGAGAGGGCATGGAAAAGCAGTCACAGAGGAACAGAAGTGTAGTGTTTTGTTAAAAAGAGGGATGCTAGCTATGTAAAGAGCTCTCAACCCAGACCAGATCTGGCCTTTCCACACCTCTGAAACCTCAGAGCTATTGTGACTCTCCTGTCTTTCCCTGGCCAGGTGACATGTATGAAGTTGGTGCAGAGAGCGGGCGTTACTACTGTCTCAATGTGCCTCTGCGGGATGGCATTGATGACCAAAGTAGGTGTTTCCTGCTGCTTCCCCTCACCTGGGTGTTTGCTGGTCCTTCTCCAGAGACATGCCAGATCTACCTTTCTCTCCACAGGTTATAAACACCTCTTCCAGCCAGTCATTAACCAGGTGGTAGATTACTATCAGCCCACCTGCATAGTGCTGCAGGTAAGAGTGTATTCAACCCTTTGAGGCTGGAGTGGGCTGCTACCTGTGTGTTACCCTCTGTTCTGGGGAATCAGGGTTGGTGTGTACTAGCCAAACTGCTGTCCTTGCCCTCTGGTGAATTAGGATGGACAAGGGGTGGGAATACTGATACGTGTCTGGAAAGCAATGCCTCTGGAGCAATAACTCTGTTGTTGTTTTTCTGTTCCCCAGTGTGGTGCTGATTCTCTGGGTTGTGACCGTTTGGGTTGTTTTAACCTCAGTATAAGAGGACATGGGTAAGTACAGCAGGGCTGGGGCAGAGCACGTCGTTGAAAGACCATCCTTTAGTCTGAGGGGCTCTCATGAGTCCTCTGCTGTGAGAGCTGAGCTTTGACTTCAGCCTTTCAGCAGCACCTGCAGGTTTCTTGGGCTTTTCTTAACTCTGGTGTGACAGGAGGGGTCTCAGAATGAGGCTTTGTATAACGTGCTGGCTCACAGAGTTAGTACATGGCTCAGGCTGCCTGGGTGGAAGCCCTGAACTCGGGTGTATCACACCAGCCATGGTGGCAGTGGGACCTGCCATTGTATGCCTGCAGCCCAGAGCCCCACCATGTGCTGGGCTGCACCCCCAGAGCATGAGCAGCAGGTCAAGGGAGGGGATTTTCCCCCCCCTACTATACTCTGTGGAGACCCAGGTTAGACATTAGGCAGAAGCTCTTCCCTGTGAGGGTGCTGAGGTGCTGGCACAGGGTGCCCAGAGAAGCTGTGGCTGCCTCATCCCTGGCAGTGTTCAAGGCCAGGTTGGACACAGGGGCTTGGAGCAACCTGCTCTAGTGGAAGGTGTCCCTGCCTGTGGCAGGGGGTTGGAACTGGAGGAGCTTTAATGTCCCTTCAACCCAAACCAGTCTGGGATTCTGTGTACTGGTGTTTTAGTGCATAGTGACATTTCTGACACGTGGATGTGTGCTACAGTTAACAGCTCTGGCATTTTTCTTTTGGGATTTCTAGGGAGTGCGTGGAGTATGTGAAGAGCTTCAACATCCCCTTGCTGGTGCTGGGAGGAGGTGGTTACACAGTCCGCAATGTGGCACGTTGCTGGTGAGTCTCTTCTCTGCTTGTAGACAGTCACTGGTTAAGCAGTTGCTGTGGGCTGTGTCCCTTCATGCACCATGTAGCTTTCTCTGGACTGAGCTCATCTTACTCCATGTTTTCAGGACTTATGAAACATCATTGCTTGTAGATGAAGCCATTAGTGAAGAGCTCCCTTACAGTGGTAAGTTGGAGTTTTGTTATTTCCTCATGAGCTGAGCTAAGGTATTTGTTATGTCAACTGAGAAATTAACACTTCTGTTCTGCATTGACTAGAGAGAAGATGAGGACCAAAGTGGCCTTGGTTTTCTCTTACCACCCACTTTTCTGGGCAGACACACTGTTACTGTGTCATGTATCATTTAATCCAGATTATTTCCTACTCGTTGACCTGAGTGTTTCTTTTGCTGGCTCTGTTGTTTCATACAATTCCTTTTGGATGCAGAGCTGTGCATCACTCTAGTTTTTAGCGTCTGGTCCCTCCTAGCATGGTGGCAGTGAGCTCTGCTCTCTGCAAAGCACTGTGGGCTGGTTCCATTGCCTCATGCTGTAACTCTTATTCCATCACAGAGTACTTTGAATACTTCGCTCCAGACTTTACCCTTCATCCTGATGTCAGTACAAGGATTGAAAATCAGAACTCCAGGCAGGTAAGTCCTTCCAGCCTTGTTGGAGTATCAGCTGGGTAGTAGCAAAACCCTGTGGCTGATGCTCTGTCCTGTGAAAGCAGGTAGGGCCCAGGCAAGGAATTCTTGTGGGGCAGAAAACTGACCAAGAACAAGTAGAACCTTTCCTTTGGGATGTCAGAAAGTCTCACAGCATCTGAAAACCTTACTGGGTTGCCTTTCTGTTTTCTGTGTGCTTGTGTTTCAGTGTCTGAATTAACTTTCTCGCCTCCTCTGATCTGATAAACAGCTTTTTGTACACCTTTGTTTCTCATGGCCACCACACAGATGATGCAGGCAGGTAGCAGTGCTTGGTGTACACTGCCACATCTTGCTGTAGTCATTCCTCTCTCTTTTTTTCTACACAGTACTTGGACCAGATCAGGCAGACAATATTTGAGAACCTTAAGATGCTGAACCATGCTCCCAGCGTGCAGATCCATGATGTCCCCTCTGACTTGCTCAGCTATGATCGCACAGATGAACCTGATCCAGAGGAAAGAGGCTCTGAGGAAAACTACAGCAGGTACCAGATCCTGTTCTGGAGAAAGGGGCTTCCCCTTATAGAATCATAGAATAGTTAGGGTTGGAAAGGACCTCAAGATCGTCTAGTTCCAACCCCCCTGCCATGGCCAGGGACACCTCACACTAAACCATGTTGCCCAAGGCTCTGTCCAACCTGGCCTTGAGCACTGCCAGGGATGGGGTATTCACAACTTCCTTGGGCAACCCATTCCAGTGCCTCACCACCCTCACTGTGAAGAACTTCTTCCTTTTATCTAACCTAAACTTCCCCTGTTTCACTTTGAACCCATCACCCCTTGTCCTATCACTACAGTCCCTGATGAAGAGTCCCTCCCCAGCATCCTTGTAGCCCCCTTCAGACACTGGAAGCTGCTCTGAGGTCTCCATGCAGCTTCTCTTCTCCAGGCTGAACAGCCCCAACTTTCTCAGACTGTCTCCAAACAGGAGGTGCTCCAGCCCTCTTGTCATCCTTGTGGCCTCCTCTGGACTTGCTCCAACAGCTCCATGTCCTTCTTACATTGCGGACACCAGAACTGTGCATAATACTCAAAGTGAGGTCTCACAAGAGCAGAGTAGATGGGCAGGATCACCTCCTTTGACCTGCCATGGGTAGAATGAGCAGATGGTATACTGGAGACCATCTGTTTCCTAGAACAGATACTAAATCACTTCCAAGTCTGGTTTTATCCAGAGAGCCTCTCTCTAAAAATGTGGTCTGCTCACATAACATGTCACAGGGTGTTTGGGTGCAGGGCATCTCCTGACCTTCAGTGGTGGGACTTAGGCACTGTTCTGTGGCCTCCAGGGTGCCAGGGCTCTCCTTGCTGATGGTGGTTGTCTCTCCCCCAGGCCTGAAGCTGCCAACGAGTTCTATGATGGTGACCACGATAACGACAAAGAGAGTGATGTTGAGATCTGAGGGCTCTGCTGTGGGGCTCTGGACTGTGGAGGGTCCCACGTTGGACATGGGTGCTTGGAGCAGGTAACTGGTGTAGGAGCCAGTTAGCCCTCCCTTTGAATTTGATTGCATGTGGTGGCAGCAGAAACAACACCACTGCAGGCTTTTGCTACCTGGAGAGACAGAGAGCAGGGAAACATGTTCCTTCCTTTCCACCATGTTACGGTTCCACTTGTCACTGCTCTGGGATATAAGAATTCAAGTATCACTTGGATCTGTGCTGTGTACTGGCTGCAGCCACGCAGCTGCCTTGAGACCCTGGCCCATGGTGGTTCCTTCACCTCCTGTAACTCCCATGCAGGCTCCTGCCAGCAGCAGGGAGCTGGACTGGTTGTGCATACGATCTCTGCCTCTCTTCTGCAGCAGCTCCTGATACATCCTGCTCTTCCCCAGCCCTCCGTTCAGGTACCCAGTTGCCTGTCCTCTGAAGCCTGCACTGCAAGTTGCTTCCTGACGTCCCTCCTAACCATCTGATACTCCACAGCTCAAGGCAAACTGTTCAAGAAGACAAGGCCAGTTGTGGGATAGGGGTTGGGAGAGTCCCTGGGACAGGGAGCAGCTTGATGGAGCAGGATGGAGGAATGGATGCAGAGCATAGTCTTGTTCCTCCCTCTCCTCTCCTCTCCCCTCAGTTTTGTGTTCCAAATGAGTACTGCAACACTTCGAGTTGGACCTAACTTCCCTCTTTTCGTTCTTCAAGAGGCTAAAATCACTGGAGCAGAGGTTTGGCTGCCAAGGTCAGTACATAATGTGTCTTGCACCTCTAATATAGCTTCCAGCTGTGTTTTCCAAGGTCACACATGGCCCTGCTGTGTGTTAGCGAGAGACTTGGGCTTGCTTGGAGTGGAAACCATTCCCACTTGACTGTAAGAAGATGTTACTCTGCTTATGGATGAGGGAAGCTGCTTCCTCCAGGTCCTGCCTACTTGCCCTCACACAGCAGAGATTTCCCTTGGCCATTCCTCAAATCCCAGACTTTGCTGCTCTTCCTCCCAAGTCATCACCTGGTACCCGGTCTGGAGCATGTCTGGGGAGGTGGGAGGGCTTTAGCCTCTGTCTGTACTGTTCTGTTTGTTTACTGAGGTCTTTAAACATTAAAAGAAGAGGCAGTATTTTTCTTACCTGAACTGTTGTTTGTCTGTTTAATGCTCACACCTTTTGGCTCCTGTCCTCTTAAGATTGAGAACATGAGGGTCATCCCCAGCAGGGTAGTGCCCTCTGAATGAACAGAGGGCGACCAGCTCCTTAAAGTATACACTGGTGAGTTTGAGGAGTGAATACCCTTACAGAA